CTTATCGATGTAAAATGAGTATCAACTCATTCCTAGTTTTCTTTTAATTTAAATGGTTAATTTTGAACATTGTTGGTATTGGCCCCCAATTTCTTAAAAGCCCAAAGTTTAATTTTATTCTGCCCGGCCCATGCCATCTCTGTCTGATTGTTAGCTCAGCGCCATTCTTCCTTACCTGCGAAATCTTTCCTTCCTTATGTCAATCGCTGTTGATATGGTAACTTACCATACCCGTTTCCAGTACTTCAATTCGCCTATATATGCCTTGCTTCCCATCTGTGATAGAGTTGGTCGCGATAACACTAACCCCAGAAACAGTTCGCCCCCTTTTTCTTTCATTGGTGGTTTCGCCGGAATTAGACTGATTTGGCCGAAAATTGGTAGAAGGCTGACGTCCAATTCTCCCCTTTAGATTCTTAGTAGTTTATCATCCTTTGTGGATGAAGATTGAGACCTGAGCTGGAAGGAATCGTCGTTTAACAAACATTAATACACTACAAAAAACAGGCCGTTTGTCACGGATTTTTGTCACGGATTTGGTCCGTGACAAGTTTGTCACAATCTTTGTCACGGTTTTATCTGACAAGTCACGAAAAAAGAAAATCCATGATAAAATTCAAAATTAATTTTTCCGGCGGTCCCCAAAATGCCAATTAATGTTGTACGAATAGTGTTTTGTCACGGAAAAATCCATGACAAAATGCGTGACATATTGTTTTATATATGCAAGATCAGATTCATTCGACAGATTCATACCAATTCAAACTCAACCAGAGTATAACACAATATCTGTTCAAAGATTGAAGGATGTAATATATCTTATGTCATTTTCTCTGTCTATACAGATAAGGTATGTCAATTCAAATTATATATCATTTTTAATGTTAATTATTAAGTTTTTCGTTTTAAACAATAATTTTTTTTAGTGACATTGTTAATTAATTAGCAATATATTTAACTATAAACGTAGTGATGTCATAATTTATTGTGCATATATTTGAAATTCGTTTGGAAATGTATATTAATTTTTCAATTAGTGGTAATACCATTAATTTAGGATTTGAATTGATAATATTAGTTAAAGTTAAATATTAGTTAATTGAAATTGCCGGGTTTATAAAATTATTAGGACTGTTTATTCCTTTTAGTAAAAAACATATCAGAATTTTAAGTAATAATAATAGTAATTCAATTAAACTGCTTTTCACATTTTTAGTTAATTAAAATGTTTATTTGAAATTCGTTTAGAAATATATACTACGGAGTATATTTTAGCAATTATTGTTAATGCCTAATTTAGGATTTATAATGATTTAAGTACATTAGGATTCAAACATTACTTTAGTGTGAATTAATATTCTGAATTGATGTTCTTAAATAATAATTAGTTATGCATAATTCAAAAGTTAATTAATTAATTGAAATGATTAATTCCAATAACGTATTGCTTTTAGTTAACTACTAATATTAATTGAACATTAGTTAATTTTAGTGAACTTTAGTGAAATTTAATATATTAATGTTCTTAAATAGTAATTAGTTATGATTTAAAAGTTAGTTAAATAATTCAAATTATTAATTCCATTAACATATTACTTTTAGTTAATTACTAATATTATTGAACGTTAGTTAATTTTAGTCAACTTTAGTGAAATTTAATATATTAATGTTCCTAAATATTAATTAGTTATGATTTAAAAGTTAATTAATTGAAATAATTAATGCCATTAACGTATTACTTTTAGTTAATTACTTCAATATATTGAACGTTAGTTAATTTTAGTGAACTTTAGGTAAATTTAATATATTAATGTTCCTAAATATTAATTAGTTATGATTAAAAAGTTAGTTAATTGAAATGATTAATGCCATTAACGTATTGCTTTTAGTTAATTAATAATATTAATTCAACGTTAGTTAATTTTAGTGAACTTTAGTAAAATTTAATATATTAATGTTCCTAAATATTAATTAGTGGATATATTAAACACAAAAAATTATTGTCAATGCTTATAATATATAGTTTTTATCCAATGTAATTTTTTGATTATAACATTCAGACATGATGTACAAAGAAAATAGAAGTTGGATGTATGATAAACATGCAGAATTGTACTGAATGAAAGCAAATTTTCTTGATGGAATTGGGGAGTTTGTTACATTTGCACTTGAACACTCAGATTATATGGATGATGATAAAATCAGATGTCCATGTACAAAGTGTAAAAATCTCAAATTTAAAGACACTGACGAGGTTGCGTGACATTTGTACGAACAAGGTTTCGTTGATCGACAATTGTTATAATTGGACTTCTCGTGGCGAACCTTTCGATCCATCACTTTTACCACAAACAGTAGGTTCGTCTCGTAACGTACCTAACGAGATGAGTGCATGGGTAGGGAGACTATGCTCAAATGAACTGGGACAAAAAAATAGTATATGATACATACGCTGCCTCGACGTCTCATTTTAACCCCCCACAACCATTTAATGATCCTCCTGAAGCCTCGACCTCGTATCAATAAGATGCGGATGAAAATCCGATCTTTTATCAACATGATGCATGTGGATGAAGAGCCTATTGCTTGGTCTACTTGACCTTAGGCTTGCTTATTAGCTTCCGCACTGTTTTGAGTTTTTTCAGCTTCTTTATTTCTAGGCTTAGCTTGCTTATTAGTTTCCACACTTGATAAATACAAATTTTAAGAATACCTAATTATATTCATCCTTGTTTGATAAAGCAGTCTAGCTCAATTGGTCGACTTCTCGCCGAGTCACTCTCCTTTATGGGAGGTCTCAAATTTGAAACTCAATCGACTAAGTTTCAACCATGTTTACTCCAGACCCTCCAATCCAGGTGTAAATAAATATTCAACCCTGTTTTTTCTTTTCACATCTACGTGTAAACATAAAATTACATAAACATTTCTTTTATATATTTGGATCCCGTACATAAATGTAATTCCACAATGACTTTGCTGATTTACCTAAAGCTATTGACACCGATGTAGTCATTCAAGATATTTACTAACTTTTTGCATCAATCTAAGGAAATTAATAGTCGATAAAGAAAGGGAACAATTTATCTCGGCTAAAAATGTGTGTCTATTACATACTGATTTCCCATCATAAATTTTACGGAGTATGATTTTAATGTAACTTTAAAGACTACTTTTTAGTTTTTACTAGTCCATGTTATATACGAAGTAGTAATTATATATTAAAGCGTATGATAACTTTATGCTACGTATATCAGAATTCAGAAGGATATACTCGGATCCGTATATGTGTATATATATATTTATGAATTACCAAACAACTATCCATTTTTTTTCTTTTAAAGTATGTGTACTTTAAATTAGTAAATTTTATACTCGTAGGGCTCGTTTGGTACTTCGCACATTAAAACTTTACATGCAAAATGATTGCATGCATGTAAAGTGTAGGGGTAGTAATTAGTTTACGTGTAAAATAAAAATACATCGTTTGGCTACATGTTTATTCTATTTTTAAATTACACGCAAAGTCTTTACTATGTTTGCTTAGAAAATAATTTTAGTAAAATATTTGGCAAATCCGTACGTGTGAAGCACATCATATTCGAGTAAGAAATTAACTTCAGCAATAATGCAAGGGAGCATTCTAGCAACTTGGATTTCCGAAGCATAATCAGAGATTAATTTCTACCGTTCTATCTGTATGACACATTCCATCTTGCTTGTTGAGACATAACAGTAATTTTATCGTGCTTGACTGCTTGCTACAAGATTATTGGTGTAATCAATCTTGAAACTATCATGAAGTAAATGGAAATCCGAAAGTGCTGAAATCAATCTTGTAGTTATATTCTCAATAGGGCAGACGTATTAATTTAGTGATATGCTAAATAGGATGGAAATCTGTTTATTGCTTCCAAGTTTTCCTTTTGCTGCCACTCACTATTCTTTAATCGTGAAGGAGTTTTCTCCTTATTTAATTGTTACGGAAATACGGAGTATTATATTTTATAATCATATTAATGAATGTAAAGTAGTTTACTACCCTCCCCTACGTAAAGTATTTTGCATAGTACAGTGTAAAATGTTTTAAAAAAAGTGTCCTACAGTTTACATCAAATAATTAAAACAAACGGTGTAAAATGTTTACTTCCCCACACTTCGCATGCAAAGTGTTTACTTTACATCATACCAAACGGGCCCGTATTGTTTAACTTTTACATTAGCCTAAAAAAATAAAAGAGTAAAGGGTCAGTTTGGTACTCGAAGTTGCAAAAAAGGAGTCAAATAAGTCCTTATATAGAAGATTCTGTCCGGACGTGCCATTTGAGGTGGCTCCCGGTAGAAATTTTTGATTAAATTGTTTGACCATCTTATTCATTAAGTCTAGTTTACTCATACCAAATTTTAGTTAAAAATTCAATCGAGAAGACATTCAAATGAATTCTTGAAGATAATTGCGCTTTTAACGGCACTGTTATCTTCAAGAATTTATTTCAATGTCTTCCCGATTGAATTTTTATCTGAGATTTGGTATGAGTAAACTAGACTTAATGAATAAGATGCTCAAAAATTTTCATCAAAAAATTCCATCGGGAGCCACCTCAAATGGCACGTCCGGAGAGAATCTTCTAAATAAGGACTTATTTGACCCCTTTTTTGCAACTTTGAGGACCAAACTGACCCTTATACCATTTGAAAAATAAAAGGATAAATTTAAAACTTTCTGATAGGTTTATGCAACCTCGACTCCAATACTTTTTTTCTAATTTAATTAACTATGGTTAACAAATTTGAGCCTAGTCTAGCTAGAATCAAAACAAAAACATTTAAAACGGACGATATGATGATGATGATACTACTAGAGATGGTCACCCGGAACACGTAGAAAACGTAAGAAAAATCAAATCTGAAAATTTCCTCGAAACAGAAAAGAGAATCAATCAAGAAATCAAAATACTAAAAGACGAAAAATTAGGGGAATGTTGCAATTAACGTTTCACCGGTGGGCAAAGCTTCTAAATTTAGTCACCGCTCATATCGGTGGCCTCCCCTATAAAAACCAAACCCTCCCTCTTCTTCAATTCTCATACTCAATCCTTCAAGTCCATCATCTCTCTTCTCTTCCTCCTCTAATCCCAAAACAATCCATTTCATTAAACCCCAAGAAATGGCTTCTTCAATCAAACTCTCTTTGATTGTCTTCTTTGCCTGCTCCCTTTTCCTTCAAGGCACTTTGGGTAAGCAAATTTTTATTTTTTTATTTTCTCTGTATCGTTTCAATTTTATCGACCAGGTGTTCTGAGAATCCGAGATATTTCTTTTTTCGAATTTGGTTTTACGCGTAATTTTCATGATCAGGTGTCTCCTAGATTTTTTTTTCTTTCTATTTTCTGTTTTCTCATAATTTTCTTGGAAATGTATAAGAACTTATATTACTTTCAAATTATTTATAACTTGTAGAATAATAATCTTTAATATTGGAATGCCCGCCGACCGGCTTAATGATTTTTGGATGGATTTATTTCCAATAATTTAATTAATGTGATTGCTATTAGTCAACATATATCGTATCATCATGTAGTTCGTATTAAGGATTTTAATTAATGTTTCTTGAAAATTCGAAACCTTGTTTTCCATTTCCTTAAAACTCTTTGACACAAAACTTAATCAATTCATCTTATGTCGAACAATTTCTAATCTTATTTAAATTGATCACAATAGGGGAGATCATATGTGAGGAATTGCCCAAAGAAAATTGTGCATTTTCGATCGCGTCATCGGGGAAGCGGTGTCTATTGGAGAGCTCGCCGAACGGCGAAGGGGGGGTGGAATTCCAATGCAAGACGTCGGAGGTGGTGGTGGGAATGATGGCGGAGTACATAGAGACCGATGATTGCGTCGCGAAATGTGGCGTTGATCGGAACTCGGTCGGACTATCATCGGATTCCTTGATGGAGACCGAATTCACCAAAAAGCTTTGCTCCTCCGAATGCCACCAAAACTGCCCCAACATCGTTGACCTTTACTTCAACATGGCTGCTGGCGAAGGTATATACATGACAACATTAATTTTCTTTTCTTCTTTGTTATACTTTTCTCCACCCTTTCCGGAATAAACTTCGCCGTCTGATTTCCAATGTTTTAATGCCACTTATATTTAACAAATCCTACTTTATAATAATGTAAAATATAAGGTTAAAGTTATAATTAATACTAGGAATATAATTTGTGAAATCTAGAGGTTAATGTTGATGACTGTTGCCATAAAAGTCAAAAGGTGAGTTAAGAACTTAAGAAATTTTAAACGATTGACTCCGTATTTCTTTATTATGTAAGTCATGTCGAAGCATTATTTATGAACGTTCTTGTTGCTAGGCTTGTATCATGTTACATATACTTCATTTTTTTCGCCATTCCCAATTAAACTTTCACTTTCATTTTTTGGTAAAAAGTTTTTGATTTACAGTATTTTTTACGCATTAATTTCTTCTCTGCACAACTTTCCACTACCTAATACTCACCATTAATCCCCGCGTTATTTTTACTATTGAAGTTTTATGAGGGACGGAGGGAGTATCATTTTTCTGAATTTAGCCTCTTGATCCTGACAATTCTGATCATGATATTCCCTAATTTTGACAATCCTAATATCCATGATATGCAATTTAGTGTCAATCACGTCTAAGCTGGACGGGATTGGGATTATTTTTGCCTTGATCCAGGTCTTTTGGGTTCTACTTCTCGATCTCAAGAAACAGAGCTCAAAAGACTTCAACTTTGGGAATTATTGGGATTCATTATCGGGAACTCTACTCAATCGGGATTTTAATGTCGGGATAGCAACTCAAACGGGACACACCGGGGGAGACCAAGATCTTAGTGATCTAGTACTTGTAATCAGATAATCCTGATTGAGTGTTCTCATTTTCTTTCTTTCTTTTATCATTTGATGTCACTAGGTAGCTAGCTAGCAATCCCACATTATACTTCGTACTATGTTACTATGATTTAGCACGAACGTAAATTAATTTGAACTGTTTCTACGTGATTATAAAAAATTGTAGGGGTCTATTTGCCGGAGCTGTGTGAGAATCTAAAGAGCAGCCACCACCGAGCGATGACCGAGTTGTTGAGCAGCGGTGCCGTTGATACCGTGGCTAATGGTCCTGCCGCTGATGGTCCTAACGGGTATTCAAATGCCGCCTTCGACGCCGCCGCCGCCCCTGCGGATTCTCCTACTTCTATCTAATACTTCGTATTATAAAAATATTTGTCGCAGTTCAGATATCCTCATATATGTATTTTTATTTCCTGCACGGCTTCTTATATGTTACGGAGTATATGTTATAGAGAATATGTAGTGCCCAGCTGTACTGTTTGTTTATGATGATGAGGACGATGATGAAGAGATTATATATGTGCGTGCTTTATAATATTAATGTGTGTTTGATCAATATGTAGTTCGTTCACCCTTTTTATTTACTAATGTGTCACTACTAAAAAGTTACAAGATTGACACGAATTTGACATGAATAGATCGACAATTTCGTGCCAAATAGCTCGTGCCAAATAGCTCGTGTCAAAATATTTTAGGCACATTTGACATATCCCTATTAAAATCTATGTAAATATTTGAAATCTTTACCAAAATTTACTGTCAATCCCGTTTTTTGTAGTGCGTTGTTTTTATGTCACCAAATGAATAAATATTAGGTACCTTTTGTTTCTCAAATACTCGTATGAAATGAATGTAAGAGTACCAAATCATAGTGAAACTTGACTTCATCATATGGTACCATAGTGTAAGAGTACCATATCAATTACGGAGTATTCTATATCAAATAGATACTCCGTATTATTTAGAATTCTTTCACTTAGATTAGAGTCTGTCATATCGAGTATTTGAATGTCATCTCGAGTATTTGATAGGGAAATTTTAAAGTATGAGCAAAAGTGTTTTATTTCAAAACACAATTGTTATGTTTTTCTTTTCAAAATAAAAGTAATATCACAATATTTATTGCTATCTTAAAGTCACTATTGTCAAAATATAGTTGCAATACTAGACATTAGTATGACAATATTTTTCAATTATGTTAACGATGACTCTTCAGTATATCCGTATATTGTACAATTGTTTTATTTGTTTAGTACCTTATTTTATAGGTAATGGGGGTGTTTGATAAACTGCGTTTCAGCCGAAAATGGCGGTTTGACCACTTTCAGCGTTTTCAATGAGTGGAACATTGTTTGGCAGATAGCTATTCGGAAGTAGTTTTTTTGGCAAAAACGCTGAAATAAAAAAGCTGTTAATAGGAGAGTTTTGAATTAACGTTTTACAAAATTACATTTTCTACAAATTTTATGATCAAACAGCTATTATCAAACATTTTCTGACAACCCGCCAATTTATTTCACTAGTCCAGTCCCGGACTGAATCCACTATTGACAATCTGCTAGCATAACCCTCTATCCGCTAACCGTCGAATGCCATACACACGCCCAATAAGCCAAATAAGAGATACCACTTTTGTTAATTTATCAGCTCAAATTGTTTATCCTAATCTGGGCTGTGTCTGACTTATTAACAGATGTATAATTTCTTTATTTATTTAATTTATGATCCTTACGAATTAAAACTCATTTAGTTTTTAGTAGAAAAATAAAGAGATGTCGAATTTTTCGAAAATAACAAATTGACAAATTAAATGGCTAGCTGCAGCTTACTATCCGCCTTACATGACGTTTGACAAATTTAACGCGGATTGAATGCCAAAGGAAACTGAATTGGAGAAAGACTAGATTGTTTTTGACAAGTTCAAATTAAAGGCGCCTAACAATTCAACGCCTTGCTACTTCTACAAAATCATTATTCTTTAAAAGAACTGTTGACGCATTAAAATAAATAAATAACAATAGAAACTTCTATTTTTTCCTCCAACTCACAAGCCCTACCAAGAAAGTTCAAGGTTTATTCTAGTCGTATTCTGTACATATTATGTAAATATTACGAAGTATGTACTAAAACATAATTTATTCTAGTCACACTTTGTTAAAGTTGTTGAGAATTACACTTGATGAAACGTTAGTGCCATATCTTGTTTAAAGATTTTTTAATTGAACTGAAATTTTCTAGTCTGTTATGGTCTGGTTTGGTCTGATCTGATAGATTTCTGATCTCTGTAAATTTATAAATGTCCAATTCTGATATGATCTTGGATTGAAAACAATCAAGTACAAACATCTTAAGTCATATCTAGTATGCTACAAATACAACGCCAGTAACATATAAAGAAAGTGTAGGTAAAAATTTGTGGTAATTACCCGAATGGATAACTTTTGCCGACCGTATTTCATTTGTGACCCGAGGTTTTTGTTCTTTCATTTATAAACTTTCTTCTTTTCACTTTCAGTTTTTATATTTCAAAAATAGATTCTCTAAAAAAGACGTTGTATCCGGGAGATTGGTATTTAGATCAGAATGGTCTCCAATAAGGCGGCAAATTCACCTTCGGGAAAGCGGTAGAAGAAGCGCCCAAACTTCTCCCTAGTCTCCTTAATCATCTTCATCCTCTCCGTCATCTTGAAGTTTCTGAAATTCTGCTCCCAGATCCGGCACTCCTCCATGACCCTGATGACCCGTTTCCTCGTAAACGCCCGACCGATCTCGCAGAGAGTGGACCGCGTGCACTCGCACGGGGAGATGTAGAGACCTTCCAGTTTGCGTCTCCACCGGAGAGAAGTCGGCGAATGCTCAACCTGGTATGCTTCACCTGCTCGAGGTCTGAGGAAGAGATGCTATGATGACGTTCAGGTCTGTCGTCAGAAACTTTACAATTACAATTTTGTTTAATCATTTACATTTTGAGCTTGTGTATTTTGCTGTGAATTGAAGTTTATCATTGATATTAGTCCAAGATGGTTTTAGCTTGTCGATGTGCATGTGATTGATGGTATCTTAAACGTTTTTGAGTTCTCTGTTTTTAATGTTCATAGATTGAAAGATTGGGAGTAGAAAAGTTTGTGCTTCTTCATTAGTTATTCATATATTGAGTGATTAATGTTCAAAGCCGAGGGTAAATCGTTTGCTGCTGTGATACGATCTGTGGGTTAATATTTGTATATTTCCTTAATTTTAGGCTTTTTAGTTGTCTCCACTTCATATTCCTCAAATCCAATAAAAATGTTGAGAGAGTATATATAGCACACATCTAGCAGTGCCAAATCCAGTAAGGTCAATGCATCTGTTTATAATTCTGCTCTTATATTCATTTTTCTTCCGTTCTGAGATGATAAAGCTCCAAAACTGTCCGTTTTAATGAATGAAAAATGAAAGGAGTTGCTTAAAAACAGATACTCTGTATTAGTTATGCAAATGGAAAACATCAAAAGATAGTGGTTCTGCCATCATCTAGAATTGAGTGTTAACAAATTACAGCAAAAGGAGTAAAACATTATTCATGTGCACAAATAAGAATGGGAGTGCTTGAATGGAAGTATCTTTGGGCTGAATTGCCAGTGCTTGAATTCCAATTGGATTTCTCTGATGAAAGTGAGGAAACTAAGAATAGGATTGACTTTGTGGCTTGGATTAATAAGACCCTTGCTTCTCTGTATCCGGTAGAAGGGAAGTTGAAGCTCATTAATCTCTTGTTAGTGCTGAATTTTATTTTTCTGAACACTTGTGGAGTTTGCCATCTGAGGTGCTGAGTAATGCAAAGGAATATTTCAAGAGAAGAAAATGTTCAATTTCAATCTTTGTTTCTTATTTTAGCATGTTTTAGTTGTGGATGTCTTTTTTTTTGTGCTATTCTGTTATATAGGCTTATTGATTTCTTGTAGTAATTTATTGAGACTTTTTATCATAGTGATTCCATTCCCCATTTGCAGGCGCATAATAATAAAAAAGTATATGAAAATGTAAAGACGAGAAGATTTACAAGGAAAATGAAGATAGAGGAGGCAAACTTGTTAAGTTGTGTGTTAAGGTGCAACATAAAAGGAATAAGAAGTGAGATGAACCAAAGGCACTATGGATGTAATATATACATGTAAGAAATTGTAATAGTGGATTAGATTATATGTATTTTGTGATATTTTTATATATTGTTTTTGTTGCTTTTTGTTGCATCACATGTGTTGTTTTTTGTTGCATCATGTTACATTTTGTTGCATCGTGTTGTAGATTATTCTACTGTGTTGCTTATTGTTCTTTATAATTAATTTTAATCCTTTAAAGAAAAAATAAATATTTGTTATCTATTTATATATATATATATATATATATATATATATATACATATATATACATATATAGAGTGCGGTTCTGGTGAGAACACTTCTTAACGTGAGAAATGAGAACGCTCCAAAACGATGCACTTTATCCTTCACGAAACTGCACATTCATAGTTAAAGTAATTCAAACTGTTAATGTGCACATTTACGTTTAAAATTTTGCACAGATGAAATTCACATTTTCAAATTTTTAATATGAACGTTTCTGTTATACATGATGCACAATAATACTCAAATCCAACACTCCAGAATCATTCTCATTTCTCTCCTAAGATGATATTCTCATTTGATCCTTACCACACACACACACATTCATTTGTAATTTGAAATAAAAAATAAGATATAGGTACATACAAAAATACCTAAAATGATAAATTTGGATTTACGAATAAACAAAAGGAAACATGAAAAAACAATAAGAAACAATAGAAAACCAAAATAATTAAAGTTATCAACAAATAAAAACAATATGCAACAAAAAAATATAGGTATGTATAAAAAAACCTAAAATAATAAATTTGGATTTATGAATAAACAAAAGGAAACATGAAAAAACAATAAGAAACAATAGAAAACAAAAATAATTAAAGTTATCAACATAGAGAAACACAAAGAAACAATATGAAACAAACAATAATAAATAAATTGATTAACTATTCTTAAAATATTATATCACTAAAAAAGATTATATCTTCAATTTTCACATTTTTAAATTTTTTATTTATTTTTCTTTATTTTCATATTTATATTTTCAATTTCTATAATGTACACGAGCTTTAGTGTTATCTCAATTTATAGAGTTTTTATAAATTTAAAAAACTTATTTTCTATTTTAATATTATTTTTACAAAATTTAGTTTGATTTTTTCCTCTTATTAAATTTATTTGATATTTTTGAATGTTTTCAAATTTTGTATATTTATTTATAATTTTTATAATTTTTTACTTTGTATGTATACCAATTTCAATAAAATTACTCTTTCATAATACTTTATAATTACTTCTCATATTTTTATATAGTTTCAAAACATTTTTTTCTCATTTACATCTTTGCTTTAAAATATTGGGCTATTTTTTCAACTTGGTTTCAAATATGAATAAGCATTTGTTTTATTTTTCAACTTTTACAAATTTTAAGCATTTATGAAAGTTTCAAAAATGAGAAAATATTTAATATTTTAAGCTTT